TCCATTTCTTGTCCGTCGTTTTATATGAATTTTTCGTTTTTCTTAAGAGTTCAGATAATTTTTTCGGTATTCGAAATATTAAAAAAATGTGAAATCGTAAAAAATCACCATCTCTATCGAAAACCAGAAACCAGAAATCGAAAAAATTAACATAAAAGTGTAAAAATTTCTTGGAATCAATAAATTTATTTTTACTGACTCTTTTTTAAAATTTTTTATTAGGTACTTTTGAAAGTTGAGCTCATCTTGAGTTTATAGAACTTTTTATTAAACAAGTAGTTTTTAAGGAAAGAACATAACCGACTTCAATTCTCATATATAAATTTACGTGTACCGTTAAAATCTTCATGATCCAATCATCGGATCCAATCCAAATTACGGGACGACCCTTGAGGTGTCATCTTTCCAATAAAAAAAGAATTATTGAAATCGGTTCACGTGGTCCAAAGTTATGTATTCCGACGAATTGATAACCTCCCCTTTTTTGAAGTCGGTTAAAAATGTTTGAGTTCTGTTAGTCTTATGTAAATAAAGTGCAGTTTATGAATTTTAAACCGTTTATTTATTTATTACATACTGTACATAAAACTTGCATAAATGTATTTCAAAGAGCGTATTATCTGAAGCGAATTTTCAGTATATTCCGGTGATATATCTTCAGAAATATAAACCCCCCCCCCCCTAAAATATATTCCTGGGTGCGCCCCTGGGATGAGGATACCGATAAAAGTGAAGATGAAGATAGAAGAAGGAAGATTAAAATAGGGGTAATTATAGAGAAAATGATATAGATAGAGACACAGAGACTCAATCTGAGAACTTTTTCGGGTTTCTCCGGACTTATCGATATAATAATCGATATTTTTATCGGTTTTGTTATCGACATTTTTATCGATTTTGTTATCAAAATTTTAATCGATATTGTTATCGTTTTTGCTATCGATATTTTAGGAACTTATCGATATAATAATCGCTATTTTTAACGATTTGTTATCGATATTTTTAAAAACGTATTTTGTTTATAGCAACGTACCAACAGGACGTAAAAATGAGCACACGAAAATATAGATTTCAGCTATCTAATATATAAAACCGTTGTAAATTTCAAAACTGCACGTGGGAGAAAAATAATTGTGGTCAAGGGTGTGGTGTAGGTATAAAAAAAAAATTTCACAAGTCCTTTACCGATATATTTTTTACAATTTAAATTGGAAATTTTAATTTTTTTTTGCAATAAAATTCTTTTTTTTTGCAATAAAATTCTTTTTTTTTCNTTTACCGATATATTTTTTACAATTTAAATTGGAAATTTTAATTTTTTTTTTGCAATAAAATTCTTTTTTTTTTTAAATTTTTGCCCACATATATCTCGAAAACTTGGTATTTTAATCAAGAGTGAATTATCAATGGAGGATAGGAAATTTAATTACATTTCATTTGATCGGTTAACGAATTCACCAGACATTAGACACTTTTTGACCGACCTTTTTTTAATCAAAAACCGTTATGTAGCAATATGTCAAAAACTACACATAGCAAATTTCTATTTACGTAATCAAGTAAGGTCCTAGGTTGCAAAAAAAATTCCAGCTGCGCGAACCAAAACCACTGTGGACCAGTGTAATAAATGAAAATAGTGCGAAATTTCATGCCCCTATATGCATAAAGGAAGGGATAATAACGCAATGTTTCATATCTGAACAATCAGCTGTTGAGTGTTATATGTTATAATTGTCAGATGACTAATACATTATTGGCCGTTTTTTCAAGTTGCTTTTAAAATTGATCTTTATACAAAAAAAAATTTTTTGAGAAAAAAATTTGTGTTTAAAGAGTGAATAAATTTTAAGAGCTGCTTGAGAAAACGGCCCTATAAAAAGGAACCCGCTTAAAAACTTTCAGTAGGATATCTTCAAACTGACTAATTCGACTCAGCTCGACGTTCTGATCATTTTGGTGTACTTTTATATGGGTATATCTCTTCTTTTTCTGATATTTTCAAACATTGGATCAATCTTATAATACCAGTTTTTTTATTATGAAAGGTATAAAAATGCCTCGTAAATTGTAGAGTAAGAGATTCTCTACCGAATTGCAATGTGAACTAATGGGCTGCGACTTATCAATTTCCCGTATGTAAATATTTATATATGTATGTATTACTTACCTTTGAAAGAAACGCCCTTTAAATATCCAAAACCCGCATGTCATATCATCCGTTAACGGCATATCTCTTAATATTTTATTAATCTCCTCCGTCATTATTTGATCATGATCTGATTTTTCATTATTTTTCGCGCCGTTCGATTTTTCACTCGACTTAACATTGCCATTATCGAGTAGACGCGATTCGACATCAATATCACGATCGATGGCACCCGTCTCATGATTATCCTGCGCATCCGTGCTGTGTTCATGTTCATGATTTGTGTGATGATCCTCGATTTCAACCATGGTTGCAAACGATTTTTAGTTTTTTTTCCACTTAGATATTAACTATAAACTAAAATAATTTTAGAAACGATTGTAGATTATACACAATGTTTCACATTTAACACTTTAATTATGCGGGTGCGACGTCAGTTTTGTTTTTTCACAAATATCCAAAATTTAACAAATGTAAACCCAAGTGGCAGCTAAATATTTACAACACAATCGAAACACTTTTTCACTCCGCTGTCTTAGCGTCACGGCTGATTGTCTGTGAATAGGCGATAATATACGGCTGCTGCGGGTGTTTTATAAGCTCGTCGGAGTAGCTGATATCGCTCGACACTATCGATGTGCGCGTAGGGATACTGTCAGTAATATTAATGCAAGCCAACACAGTGCACAACAAACTAACAAACGATCTAGCAGTAGCAGCTAACTAAGTAGTNTGATATCGCTCGACACTATCGATGTGCGCGTAGGGATACTGTCAGTAATACTAATTCAAGCCAACACAGTGCACAACAAACTAACAAACGATCTAGCAGTAGCAGCTAACTAAGTAGCTATTTGTGTTTGAGATGACGCTGAACTGAAACGGTGATCAACGGCCGTCAAATAGACCGTCAAATTGTCAGCTGCCTATCTGCCTATCTGAAGTTTGCATATTTGTTTCAAATATTATCTTTGTGTATTGTAATTATGGCGTACCCACCTACTATCTATATGCACCTATACACACATACATTTGTATGTATAATCGCAACGTTTAGCTGCTGTTTAGTCGTCTTTAAAATATTGTTATCATTTGTTACACTTTTATCTGATTTAATTGCTACAAACACTTAGATATACACTGGATGCTGATATTGCTGTTTATATAACTGCATTTCATGTATTAAATACTCGTGTAAAGTTTAATCTGCGAAGGATTTATAAGTTTTATGTAAATATAATTAAAGACATATTATTTTATGAAAGGGCAATAGAAATGATTGAGCATTTTCGTGAAAACAGTTGGGCCTGTAGTAAAATTGGTCTAAATAGCACAAACGATAGGACTTTGTCTACCTAGGATCCAGTATAAGCACCACCATCAACGTCAGCCTGTAGATCAAGCGAAGAATAACTGTTGGCCAACAGGTGCTACTTTGGGCTTGGTAGGCAACTGAAAAGCAGAGCCCTCTCTCGACGAACGAAAATCACGCTCTACAAGTCTCTCCTCATGCCCGACCGCACCCATGGGAGGACAACGATAGCAAGGGCGCCAACGAACGCAATGGAAGGGCCAAGTGCAGAAGGACCTGTCTGCGCCCGGGATAACCAACTTTGTTCTCGGCTCAAGCCGATAAACGGTTTTAGTGCCAAAAAAGAAGAAGAAGAAGTACAAATGTAGTGAGGATTAAAACGTTTGTATTATTGAGAAGAAAACAACCATTTGATGTTAGATTCAAACCAGAGATGGGCACGGGACAAAAATTTCAGTCCCGGTCACGCCCATCCCGAAACTCAATTTTTAATTCCCGAAGCCGCCGTCCCGACGTTTTTCAAAATTGTACCGCGGGTTCCGTGGGTCCCGAAATCTATCACTAAGTTTAATTCCAAATTAGTTTTAAATAATAAAAAATCTGGCATCTTCCGGTTATTTTATTTTTTGCCTTGCTTTTCATTTTCGTGTCAATAAACATAACAAAAATTATTATTTCGAGATTGTCGGGAAAGGATTTTAATCCCGTTCCGCCCGCAAAATTTTTAAAGACCTTCCCGATACCGCCCATCTCCGCCATTTTGAAATCGGTACCATATACCGCGATATACCGCGCCCATCTCTAGTACTGATAACACATGTTGCTGTGTCAAATTTCAGGACGTTAGCATAAGCGGTTCCACAGAGAAGCGATATGAGAATTTCAGTTTGTATGGGAGGTGCCACACCCCTTTTTCCAGTACCTACCATTTTTCGGCGTAGGTAGGGTATTTACAATCTATGCATCCTTGCCAAGTTTCATTTCGCCAATGTGATTGAGTTTAGAGATATGTATATCGGATTTCACATTTTAGTCTGTATGTCAGATGCCACGGTGTCCTCGAAAAAGGCAGTTCAAAATTTTCTTGTGGCATATTTAATATAGATGCTTGGGATTTGCATGGCTCATTTTGCTCGCTTTAGGAAGAAATTCTTCTTTTGCCGTTGTCCAGGAAGCGGACCCATGCGAAAGCTTAATCTTTTCAAGCCAATAAAAAATAGTCGAAGAAACACTTATCTTTTCATAGAGCTTTTCATTCTATGATCTTCCTTTTGAAGGTGCTCCCCAGCTAATATTTACTTTGCGTGGCAAAATATATGTGACTACAATTTGACGCAAAAAATTTTAAATGTTGCGGCGAATTATGCGTAGAAAAACAAACGCAATCTTTGCCTACTGGGTCAATTCAGGCATTTCTACTTCAGACAGTGCGCAGCAGGAGTAGCTGATTCCTATCAACGGTAGCCAAACAAATCTCAAATGATGTTTATGCGAAAGATTATAGTGCACATTTATGTACAAAATAAAAAAACAAAATCTCTATAGACATGAAAAGCTTAATATTGGTAGCCGGTGAGTTCCTAAGATGTTAGTAGTGAAAAATCTTATCGCATCTCTATCTCGTTCCATAATGAATATTTAAAATAGACAATAACCTATTTCATATTGTACTGGTATTTAGTAGTAATTGGAATTTTTTAACTCAAACTATGTACAAAAAAAAAACCCAACGAAGACTTCGTTTTAGTTGCGCCACACATTATTTCGAATATATAGAGTCAGGTAGAAAAAAGTAATGATGACAGTTGATAAAAAAACTAGTTGGGCTTAGAGAGGGACAAGTAAATGTCATTCATAAAAAAAATTTCACATCATTTACTCATCCCGCCTCTATTGTGGATAGCTGCCGTTGATATGTCAGCTGCAATTTAGGATGGCACTGTGCCCGAATGGTCTTTCATTCAAATATCCTAAAGCCCGAAACTTTTTTATTGCGCTGGTAATTACTGAAGTTTCGAAAAATTATTCATCGCCAATAAATAGTTAGAGCCGAATGTTCCTAGCTTCCCTTGGGCAGGATTTCACTTGGATCAAGAATAGCTTCCATATATTTCAGGCAGTGTGAGAGACCCTTTCCGGATTCAGATCAGGAGAACAAATTATTCAGAGCACTCTCCATAATTTCGCNGTTAAAGAAGCTACATATAGTAAACTATTCATAGTAGACCGAGGCTAGTCACCAAGGCGAATTTGATAAGGTTGCGTTAGGGCGACAGCTGAATTTTTCACCGATAACGTCAAAATGAATGCTGGTTATAATTCATACTGTCATAAGTGCAATGAGGTATAGATAGTCCTTGTTCCGGGTATGCAGCTACAGTTTCAATGCCGACTCTTGCGGCGTCCTCGTCCCAGCAATGGGTTGTGCGCGGCTTAGGTACCCGCTACGTACAAGCCCCTTCCAGTGAAGAAGAAAAATAAAGCTTAGGAAGAGACCAAACAGAGTGCTATGTTTTAATTTGACACATTTGTGGTAGTGACATAACACAACATGTGTCTTTTGGCCTTTCCATGACTCCTAGTATACTGCTCTATTTACCACCCTTATAGAAAAGTTTAACCCACTTTTTAAATTTTTGTTTTTGAGAAAATTGCCTACTAAACTTTGCTACCTACAAATGTGTACATATGTAGGTATCCTCAGATAAAAATGCTCGCTATTCTATTGCAAAATGAATCATTTAGCACTACAGGCTCTTTAGGAACTAAAATTAGGCAACAACTTTATAACATTAGTCTTCATGTCTTTATAGCGGGTAAAAAGCAAACAAAAATTATATAGCATATCATCGGTGATACTGCAAAATGGTCTATGTCTATTAGTACCCTTGACACTTAGATGGTCGCTTACTTGCACCGAAATGCAAGAGCAAATCGTTACACCCTAATGAAGGAATGACAATACTTTCTACCTTTGGCTGATGAAAATGAACTATTGCCAGAAGCGATCAGATATAGATAAAATATCAATTAACCACCAGAGGTATTAAGTAACATAGAACGTTTTGCAGTATCACTGACGATATGCATGCATCTTTTGTTGACGAGTAACCTCATATAAATAATTTCATCACGGAATTTTTAAATTTTGTAGACTTATCTTTCAGTCGAGCACAAGAGTAAATAAATGCAAATTTTATGAACTTCACTTAAGTAGGTACATTACATACATACCTACATTTGTTTTTATTAGTGTCGTATTATTAATCTTCTAAGCAAATATGAAAATGAACTATGTATAATGATTCTGAAGCCAAATCATTTAGAATTATTGTCTTTCTGGCTGTATGTTTTTTGTGAAAGAAGAAGAAGAACCATATTTGTCGCTGGAAAAATAGAAATAGAACTAATCTGGCCACATTCACAGCCGTCGCGTAATTTGACAGCTGTGAGCGTTTTCATTGTGTTCGGGCTATAATGCTTGGAATTTAATGCAGGTTTTGAGGTCTAAGATAAAGTGTAGAAGAAAAAAATTAGAGAGTTGCCACCTGTTTAAAAATTGCAGTTTAGGTAAATTGATAAAATAAATTAAATATTGCAATATGGCTATCAGAAGAAAGAGGTTTATGAAGGCTTATAGCTGCAAAATTTTTTGTGAAGGGTTGCCACCTGTTTACAAATTTTGGTTTAATTAAATTAATAAGATAAATTAAGTATTGCAATTTAGCTATAAAGCTAGAAAGAGAGATAAAGAGAGAGTTTAGGAAAGTTTCCTAA